AGCTTGATAAAATTTGATCACAGGTTGGTCAGTTAAGGGGGATCCTTAAACATGAAAGAAGTTGTAATCCAGAACAACTGTAGAGTATCTGCCTTCCTAGTCAAGAAGCTCTGACTACTCATTGAAACTTGCAGCACTCCGTTCTCTAACAGCATTCCCACTAGAAGCCAAAACTTCATGTAAAGAAAATTCCCCATTTTTATTCTCTCACTGCTTACTATAGTGACACTTTTATTTATAGTATCCATCATTAGTTCAGAATTCATTTCAGGAAGTGATAGCACCCATCCAAAATTGTTTGGTCTGAAGCATGGTTTAGGGTGGTGAATATTTGGATGAGAGAGATTAGGGGATTCTAAAGCTATAGAATATACTGGAAAGTGTGGATGTATGCAGGTCAAGCCCCTAATTCAGAGGTGTCAAACTCACTTCGTCACGGTGATGTAATGTTTCAGGACTTTTTTCCCCTTTGCTAAACCAGGCATGGGCGTGGCCAGTGTGTGATGCATCCGGTCCGCGGGTTGGGAGTTTGACATCCCTGCTCTAACTGAACACTCATTTTTTGATCATATTATGACTTTATTGGGCTCAATATGAAAATGGTAAAGTGGTCTTTGTCTTTTTTAAAAAGTCAATGACCACTTTACCATTTCCATTTTGTTTTGCTTTGTCCCAATATAGGTAACTTAACCATTTACATTTAAAGTTGATGAGCAATATACTCTCACTTCCTAAATGAATTAGATTCCCTTTGAGCTCTCCAGTTTTGAGTTCAAAAAAAGGATGATTTCAAATCTTCAAAACAGATCTTTTACTCCACCTTTGCGGCTGTTCCCATAACAAAGTTTACAGGATTATCATTCAGTAAACCTCTCCCACTTCATTTAAAGCTTTTGACCTATAATTAGCAAACATGGTACAGAATTGTGCATATTTGTCACTTGATATCATTTGATACTGAGTACCACACAAGAGTAGGTATATCTTTAAAATGTCACTTGCTATGGAATAGTCTCATCAAGTGCAGAGTTGAGAAAGAAATTGACTGAACAGGTTAATTTCCCTGGCCTCTTTAACTACTGCTTACAAGCAGTTCCTCATCACATTTGAAGAGCATTTAAAATTAAGCTCCAGTATATTGCCTACATCCAACCTGCAAAGCTGCTGAATGTATCTAGCAGACGTGATAGACAACTGCAAATGAATCTGAAAATTCAGGGCTGTTGCTAAAAGCCCTCAGGCAAATGAAGAGATTAACATTCTTCCTACAGACAAAAACTGTCATTGAACAGACTTTTGGTCTACAAAATCCATCCAAATTAGACATAATAATGGGCTATGTCAAATAGCCAATACTTAACCAAAGTCTTTTGCGAATCCAGCCTTACCCAAGAGATGAAAATCCCCTTATTGTTAACAAAAGCATTTTGTTTAGTATAAACGTTCCAAGAATTTGAAGAAAGGATAAAGTCAACATTGTCCTATTACAGTATGGCTGAATGATAGACCTTTGGCTCAGATAATTAGCTTAGTGGCAGGTAATAATGATAATTTAATAAACTTGCATGCTTCCCAACTCTTAAGAAGGATTTTCTGGGCATTCACAGCAATAAAAGAAATAAATTATAAAAAGCAGAAAAAGATCAAGAACTATGTAATTTTCAAAACATTTGAAACTGGAAATTGGTTGTGGGTAATTATGATTGTGCTTTTTAGAAAAATATAAATTAAACAAGATATATAACAAAGCTCTCTAAAGCAGAGAGCAATATTCCTACCATTTAAGAATATTGGAAGTAAATATTTGAAGCCATAACCCTATTAAAATAGACAAAAATTATACCTGCATTCTTGTTCTTACATTCACCTACTGTTTTCAGTGAAATTTACCAAGACTTAACTACAGCCACTATGAGCATGTTATTTCAGGAGTCCTACTTTGTCCGTTATAAAGGACTATACTACTAGGGGTGAAAGCTCTCTAATGCTCATAAAAAATGTATTGCCTCTGTATTTATTGATACTGATGATTGCAATTCTAAACACACAACCTTAATCAGGTTAATAATAAAAAGAAGCCACACAAAAGCCAGTGTGACCTTGCATATGATGGTATTTATGGCTCTGAAAAACAAGTGCATATTTTATATTATGATGGATTTTTACTCTTGGGTACTTCTAAACGAATTAACATAATGTTCAAAAACGTAACAAAAAAGCTTAACAAAAATGTTGCTGCATATTAATTAAAGCAGGCATTGTTAAATTCTTTGCATCTGATTAACAGACATTTATAAGTGACCTTTGTTCAAAGAAACTAGAAGAAAAATGTCAGCACATTTAAATAAAATTGTCAGGGTGATTTTTAGCTTTATAAATATTTATGCATGTAGAAACTATGTCTTGACAGTTGGTAATACCTTAGTCATAGTAAGTATTTAACTGATGAAAACTTGCCATGAAAATGAGATTCTGGTTTTTTTAATTGCTTCACATGACTTTTTCTTTCACAATCTTAAGGAAGGCACAGTCAATTTATTCATTGCATTCCATTAGATCTAAACTTCAATGTATTTTACTATATATAAGGATGGATAAGCTTATGTCTGCATTTTCAGGTGTGGCATTCATATGGCCCATAAATCTTTCTTTGTACGCATTAAAAATCCTGTCATACCTAATACTACCCAGTAAAATAGGAACCTATATAGCATTTTTATACCTGTGAGTGTCTCCAAATTCAGAATGGGTCACTGTTTATACTGGAAGTAGGTCTATGTACCTAAGAAAAAAGTAAATAGAAATAGTTGAATGCTTCTTTTGAGGGACTGGGGGAGGGCAGCATTTCTTAAACTAATACCTTGTAATAGGGTATATCCTCCATGTTATCCATTTTGTGACTGGATACCTTCCCCCTTAGCTCTCTTAGCTTTTTGAAACATTCTCAAAATACTGATTGTGTTTGACTGACGTCAGTCCTGGTGGAAACTATAAGAAAAACCACCCGACAGTCTATACAATACAAATACCTGTTCTCCTGTGGCATGTAGGCATTTGTGTTACAACATATATGCTTTGGTTAGAGTTTGAAAAATGACCACCCTTGACTAGGGTCAATTGGAATCATAGATTTGAAAGGAATCTCTAGCACATAAGCTGTAAACTCAATCGCGTCACATAACATATTGTGATGTTTTTTGCCTTTGCAGAGCCAGGGTGGGAGTGGCCTGCACATGATGCATCCAGCCCACGGGCCACCAGTTTGACAGGCCTGCTCTAGTAGAATGAGTAGCCCCTAGGTTGTAGATCCCAATCCTCTACCAGAAACTTCCTGGGTCTCCACATTCTGGCCCACCTCCAAATTTGGATAGTGACTTGGCAGTTCAGCTGACACTGCCCGTCTTTTAGAGCAGCGGTCCCCAACCTTTCTGGGTCGGTGGGCTGGCAGAGGTGGCAGTGGCAACAGCAGTGGGGTGGACAGGCGTGTGTGCCACTTTCACAAATGCAGCTTTGTACATCTGCACACTCAACCACCACTACTGCAGCCCAGTTCCAAACAGATAACGGCCCAGCACTGGGTCACGAACTAAGGGTTGGGGACCCCTGTTTTAGAGGGCTTCTCACATGTTATTTTCCCCTAATCCTTGTGCATGAAAATGATAGTGTTTTCATATTCCAGGCTGCATTTTGGGGGGATTAAAAATTAAAAATTAAAACTAAAAAGAAAAAGAAAAAGTGAAATGAAGCTGGTATGTGTGTGACTAGATTCTATCCTTTCCTGGGAGGCACATTTTTAACTTTACCTAACAAGAGAAAAAGTAAAATATAAAGGTCCCTTTTACTTTTAAATATTAAAATGTACAGAGAGAACAATATAAGAGAATTACAAAAGAAAATGCAACGCTGAAGGCAAGCCACACGATCCTTCTTGCTTGCTAGAAATAGCTTGTTTCCCCCAGAAGCTTCACACAGACTACAGAAGGCCCCAAAAGATTGACAGATCACTAGATGATTGAGGAGGGAGAGGAAAGACAATAGTGCCTAATGTTTGATCCAAGATTCACATAAAAATCCATATATTTAAATTGTACTTGGAAATAAGACATTTAAATTTTAATCAATCACACATCACAATTTAAGAATTCTGGATGGCCAGGTCCTTGTGCTAGACCAGGGGTTTCAAAGTCACGGCCTGCAGACTGGATGCATCACGTGCTGGCCCCCCCCACCCCCAATTTAGTGGAGGGGGAAAGTCACGATATGTCCTTTGAAATAGAATGCTCTTAAGGAAAGTATATTCTGCTTCATTTGACATCTCTTTTTCCTGGAATTCAAAACATTGTGAAGTGGTGAAGAGATCTTATTTTTTGTTTTCCCACCCCTGCTTCATAGCTTTTAGTATTCTGACATTCATTTTAAAAGAACACATTATTGTATCTATCAGAGTGAACGAGTGGATCATCTCTGTATACCTGGAGGGGAAGCCCCCCCCCACTCTCCCTCCCTTCCTTTCTCAGAATGTATATTCTTTCTGAATCTATCTAACAATAGAGCCATCTGAAATAAATTGAGTCAGAGATATTTCGAGAGGCCTGAATAGACAGAATTGATATTTCATTTGCCAAAAAATACTTCTTTGTAATTGTTTGTATATAATGGCATGATTTGTGAAAACAAGTGAAAGTCATTTAACAAGAGAGTTAGGAAGGTGGATTCAGCTGCTAGCTAAATTTTTGATTTGTTGGCTAGACTCTTGTAGTATTTGCAGGATGCTGATGGTCGTCTCATTTACCGTAGTGTATGTGTGTCTGCTATAATAGAGGGAAATAACACTATTTCATTAAAAACAAAACTTTTCTTTTAAAGTTACAAGATTAAAAAGAATGACCCAGAAACAGCAAGCAACTAGCATTCTAAAATTATAATAAATATCCTGTATTTCTATACAGAAGTTTTCAACCAATAAATTAGAGGGAAAAACCAATCTTAATATGTAATAGTGGCCAGATCTAACAAAATTTATTAGTCATTGTAGGATTTATACAAACTTTTTTGTGAATTTGTAAATCAGAATAAAAATTTGCAAATTTAGCAATAGTATTTAGACTTATATACATATCTTTGTTAACTTCATTTAATCATTAAAGTTTATGAAAGAAAAGACATAATGTCTTAATGTGGCTAGAATTGGACATCCTTCAGCAGGCTGCAAAAATGGAACTGAAATTGTGAAGATTTCAGCTTTGTTTCTGCAGCCCCATAAAGGATTTCCTCTCCATGCTTGAAGGAGAGCTGAAATCTTTCAGCAGCATGAAGGAGCCCTTGAGAGCAAAAAAGGTGTTTGCCAGGAAGATTTTTTTTCCATCTGCTTAATAACCAGTGAGATCACTTTATGATTGCAACCAGGGTTGGCAGGTACTGGGATTGCATCATTGACAAAGCAGTCATGTGGCCTTTCACTTGCCGGCTTCACCGGTAAGATTTGACTCCCAATTGTGGTCACAAGTCACCTATATAGCCTTTTAAAATACAACAGGTAATCTGTTTTGAGGAATTACATAATTGCTTGGCATTGTGATCTACCAACAGAGTATTTCTGGTATGCTGTATTTACAAATGCAGTCATTAAAGAAAAGCAGGTACGGACAAATTAGTGCACATTCTCAAATAGTGTGTCATGGGGGGAAAGTTGATTACATTAACTTTGCTCAGTGGAGATTGCCTTTGCAACATTAATACACTTTTGCTACATAAACGTTGGTATTAGGGAGCAACTAAAGATTCCTAAGCATTCCAGTGCTACTTCTGAGGTCTGGTTGACAAAATATTTTTCAAGGCTATATAGCTGATTTCAAAACAGAAAAGGCTAGGTCATTAAAAACACATTTTTTTAAGCAAAAGGAAAGATAACTGTGTTACTCAAAAGAAAAACATCCCAGAGTAAGTCTATCTGAAAAATCAGAGTCTGTTGGTTTTGAGTTTTTCTACATCAGGGAAATTCATTATTTTTCCACTTTTCCTTCCCTGCTTTTTTTCTATTTCCTATTTGCCTGACAAATCAGTGGAGGTATTTTGAAAGCTTAAATGTTATATTTAAGTTTCCCTACTAAAAATTATGCTGTAAAATGCAACTTTGGATTTTTCTAGCTCATACGGAACAGAAAATTGTTGAACAATGATGTAGACAACTGATACTAGACTATAATAGAACATGCAACATACTTTATTTTAACAAGCATTGGTGTTATTCTAGATGTTTTCTATAATACTTTTAGAGGGGTGAACAATCATAAAAAATTGTAAACTATATCAATTAAAACTTTTATCACAATTCAAAAACCACTATGATTCATATAAGAGAGGATCACAGTGTTGCAAAATAAATCCATTATACTTATGTTGATGCTAACCTGATACATGTATCTTGGATGAAGTCCATTCATATAGGCATGGTTTAGATAAACAGTTTTGGTTCTAGTCATTTGGCCGAGAATCGTAGTATTTCCCAACCAATGCATTGTTATATGATTTGTTAAACCATTGTTAAGCAGTGGTTCCCATTGTATTTACATCAGAAAACTGCAACTTAATATACAAAATCAGAAAGATTTTTCTTAATCCAATTAACCGTGATTGTAATGTTTGAAGTAGTTCACAGTATTTATAAATTTCAAAAAATGGCACCCTCCGAATTCTTCTTCCTGTGGAAACATAAGCTCTGTGTAGTAGTATGCAGCATACACATTTTTCTAAAAACTACTTATTAGTTGTGATAATTATTGGTGATTTATTTATGATTTATAAAACATTTTTATCAAACAGCATCTGTACAGGAGAATACTATCTATAACTGTCAGTACTTCAGATAAAGTATAAAATAAAATCACAACATACAAGATTTTATGCAGAGTAATACTCTGTAAAATGTTTTATATCAGTAATGCACTTTACACCTGTTCAAATAAAGAACAAATATCTCCCAAAATAATTATTTTGACCCTGTGTAAACAAATTTTATTCCTATTTCTTCTATTCATATAGCAGGAAAAAGCCTCTCTCCTACAAGTAATCTCCATATAGACTAACTGTGACCTTTGTAATCAGGAATTCTTTAAAAAGTATAACTGGGTCATATACATAGAAAGACCTAAGGCATCTTAATGAGCATGAAATTCAAGGGAATGAGCTTAGAAGTAACAGCATCATGTAAAACATTCATCATTTCTCCCTGCTCCTTAATAATAAATACAAAGACAGTTGTTTTGACATATTGCCACAAAGGAAATATCCTAATCTTGACCCTTAAACATTCAAATCAGTAGTTTCGTATTTCCTTCCTCACTGAGGCTTCCATTTTGTATTTTGGCAGCTTCCATCTTCTACTTTGTCAGCTGTCCAACAACTTTTAGCAGTGTCTTATTTTCCTGCTTTAATTGCTCATTTTCATCTTCTATATCATCTAGATCCTTTGAGAGAGAGAGAGTAAAACAAGATATACTGCTATTAATTAATAAAAGTTCTCTTTAAACATTCACTTAATAATTCATTCTATGATACATGATATACATTTTAATTCATAAAAGCAAAAAATGGTGAACTTCAGACTAAGATGGCTAGCAAACTGGTTGGGAGCCAGTTACCGTAGTAAACGTATAATTTATGTTCTGTAACAAAACATTTTACTCTGATATGAATGCTTTATATACTTTACTTAACTTTATTGTGGCTGTTAGCCAGCACAGGAAAATTGGTATCCAAAGTATCCAAAACTAAATTGACAATGTCAGGATAGTTAAGAAAAATAAACATAGACTAAAAAAATGGGTTGAAAACCAATTATTAAATCAAAAATATGCTAAAGGACTTGATCAGGCTACACATATGTAACAAGGAGAAAAAAGATTAAAATTAGCAAGATAAATTTTGAAATAGCAGTATAAAGTACAAATATACTATATATACACAAACAGAATAAATAAAAGAATAAAGTTAACAGAAGGTATTTAAGAATTCTCTTACAGAAACCAGTCAAACAAGGTATGATACAATAGCTGACAGGGTGTGTCCACCCCAAGCCTAATGGTTAATATAGAGCCTAGCTTTCGGGGGGTGCTGTGCTGGAGATAACCAGATAGAGGTCTTGGAAATCAGATGGGATCATAGCTAGTGTACCAACCTCCCTGCTGCATAAATACTTTCTTACTGTGCCATTTGGATGGTTATGTGAGATATGATTCTGCCTTCTCCCAGCTTGGGATCAAAGGCAGCTCAAGATATCTTTTGTCACTATGGCAACTGTGAAGCTGATCCAGGGTAGAGATGGTCTGACTCACTGGAAGGGTTTATGCTTAAGATCTGTTTTCTCCCTCTCTTGAGGCAGTGTGACATGATCTGAAGTTGGGGACATTGTTATCAACCCATTCTCACATACGTACATATCACTCTGTACTAGCCTTATCCCATAGAGCTTTTGGAAAGCCTTGAAGATCTGGCTTTTTCCTCATGCCCTGGTATCAGGATGTTAGTAGATCCCAGCACATGTGTTTTGCTCTGGGTTGCAAAGCAGTTTTGTGAAGCTTTGATTATTTTTAACTATGCATCATTTTATAGCTTTACTTTATGCATGTGCATTGTTAGCAACTGTGACTTAAATGGCAACTATTTCAATTCCTAATGTATTGTCCCTTTCTTTTTGAATTGTTATCTCTGGAATTTGCTCTTTGCAGCAAAAAATTTAGGCATCAGGATAAATTAAAAATTCTTATCAAAACTGGTTGTAGGAACTCATATGAGAAATACATGTTCAACAGCATTGTTTTTTATTAAGCAACACTGAACTTGTCAGCAGGATATTGTTTTATTATTTAAGCAATATAGACACTTTTTATTTGAAAAATGAAGTAGTATTGTCAGGATACAATTTTTAACTCCACCACTGTTTTTATTTAATGTCTGAAAAAAGTATGCAGCATATGTAGTATTTTCAAATATCAAGAAAGCTACAATTTAATTTTACTTTTGTCTTTCAAGCGTGTGTCACAAGTATATATCAAAATAATTGTTTTAAAGCAGAGACAAAAACATTAAAATTTTACTCAAGATTTTATATAAACACATTCTGGAATGTTTATCTAGCACAACTAACATTCCAAAATGACTAAAAGGATGAGTTACTTGGACTAGGTCCAACCACAACCACTGACTGAAATTTAAATATTCAAACAATTTTTTTAAAAAAAACCAAATTAATTGCATTGTGTGCAGGATTTGTTTCCCAATGAACTGAAATTCCTTTCCTAAATTACAAACTGCATTTAAGAAGCAATGCCATGTAACAAGCAATAATTCAAATAAGAAAACATTGGGCACCTAGAACAGCTACTCTATTATAATTAAACAACTCATACTGCATTTCTCAAGAGTTGTTCCTAGAAGCCAACGAGAATTGGCCATTTTTATTTAATATTTCTATCTATTTATATGCTTATATTCATACTAATAATACTACTCCTTCTGACCACAGAAAATCTTATTCAAAATGCAAAAATTACCGTATTTTTTGGTCCCCCCATCCGCCAAAGTTGGTGGAAATGTCCGTACGTCTTATAGAGCGAATGTTCCCTAAGCCCCGCCCACCCACCGGCTTCCATCCTTTGGCCTCTGCCTCCCAGCAATTTGCCTCCTTGCAGCAAACAGCCTGGTCAGCTGCAGCACAACCTGATTTAGCAGGAGCAGCTGATTGGTGGTTGGTTCAGCCTCCTGGAATACCGCCAATCAGCTGTTTCAGGCTGCAGGGATCGCTGCCGCCATGGCCACCTATTGCAGCCTCCACACGCCCCATTTTTTGCCTATGCCCATCCAGTTTTTGGCCTCCATGTGCCCTGTTTTCGGCCTCTATACGTCCCATTTTCAGCCCATTTCAGGTGGTGGGGATAGGTGGCAGCGATGAGTGGTGACGGGTAGCAGCAATCCCCACAGCCTGGGACAGCTGATTAGTGGTATTCTGGGAAGCCAATCCAACCGCCCATCAGCTGCTTGTGCTAAATCAGGCTGTACTGAAGCTAACAATGCTGTTTGCTGCAAGGAGGCAAATTGCTGGGAGGCAGAGGCAGATTTTTTCTTCTTCTTTTCCTCCCCAAAAGATAGGTGCATTTTCTGGTCCGAAAAATATGGTAAGTAAGAGGTAATAAGCACAGGAAAAAAAGACATGGAAAAAGGAACTGCATCCACAGCTACTTTAAACCAAGAACACTCACTCATTATGTTTCTCCATAACTTTCTATTCTTGTAAACATTTCCACCACCTGTAAACAACTCCATATATTGCTTTTTGTTAAATGTTACTTTCGTGGTTCTCATCTCCATCCACAATTTTCTTACCCTTCTCCTTCTTTTCAATCCATTCACTTTCCTTCTTTGTTACAATTTTACCCTCATTCAATTTCTCTATATAACCTAGCAATCTAGGTTTCTTTCAGTTTTGTACCAAGTCCATATTAATTAATTACAACTAGTTCTATCTCCTTGTTTTACTTTACAGACTAAAGTATTCCACATTCAATGAATTCAATTAATATTTTTCCTAATAAATTCAATTTTCAAGTTTAGATGACAAAATGGGCAAAGCATGCTCTTTTATACAGCCATTTACACTTATTTCATCATTCTTTATTCCCATTATTCTATCAGTATTTCCCCATCTTTACATTACTCTACCCATTTCCCCATCTTTGGTCAACCATTTTCCAAAATACTTGCTCCAATTTTTCACTACTAACTATAATTTGCATTCACTCCATTCTTTTGTCAAATAGAATATTATTTTTCAGAATCATGTTCTTTCATTTGCATTATACAAACTATTTTTTTGATGTAAACTATTTGGCTCCTCAGTCATCTATATCTTCATGTAAAGTACACATACATACTTCTAACATACTATTTATTCTCATTAATTTTTTTGTTTGCATCACATATCATTTTTATAACATTCAGAAACAACTTTTAACTCTACATTCACAAACAATATTTACAAATTGTTAATAATTCATCACTATTCACTCTTTTAGCCCCACCACTGCTGCATGCTACTAGTATTGCTCTGTTCATCTTTGATGAACTTGCTTTTCCTTTTCATTCTACATTGCTCTCAATTACCTTCTGTTCAACATGATGCCTTCAATTATTACTTTCATATCATTCCTACTTTTACCCGTACCCACAAAAGTGTAGTTGACATATCTACAACATATATTCCAAAACATAATTAAACTTTACATTCATCCCTTATGTATATTCATCAACCCAAATACATAGGATCTTCTATCAGAACTATTACATTCTTTTCCATTTCTTATCTTCACAATAAAAAACTTATATATGTTTTGTTTTTTCCTTTTTAATCCTTAATTCATACTCTTCATCATTTATCCTCCATTACTAACCAAGTAGAAATCTTCCACATGCTATGGTCAATATCACACGAGTTCATAAATACTGATATCTGACACACATCATGCCTTTGATTAATTGAAGCCTTCCCATAATGCTTTTTATAAAAATGGAAAAGGAGCAGATCAGGGCATCAATCTTAGCTGTCCTTCTGCCACATGAAGGCTTTCTTGGTAAGAATTGTACCAGGTGCTTTTGTCGTATTTTAACCTGTAGTACAAACACAACCTAAGCTCAGTTTTACTCCAAGCATGCTCAAACTATTTTATTTAAGTTAGGCAAGATCTCTAACTTTGGCAAAGGAGTGTTTGCAAATCTAGAGTTTAACTTAAACACTGAAGAGAAGAAACTGCAAGTACACCTTTCTCTTGGGTCTTTGAAAGAAGAAAGGATTAATAAAAGAGTGAACAAATAAATGAGCATTAATGTGCTGGATCATGCACAAATGTAAATTCATTTTTGGGGGGGAGTGAGGGGCTGGGGCAAGGGAATGTATGACTCATACAAAAATTCTAGGAAACACAGGTCAGTTGAAAAAGTACTTACCCTATTTAATAAATCAATTTCCTCCTTTAATTTCCCAATCAACTCTTCTTTGTCTTGGGCTATCCTCACAAGCCTCAGGTTTTCTTGTCGCTCCTTTGCTAGATCCTTCAAAAAACAAATTTTTAAATACTTCATTTAAAAACAGTCAAAACAATAGACATTAGATTACAGCTTTTAAATTTATTATGTTTACCTTTTCAAGATCATCAATCTTCTTTTCCAAAGAATTAGTTGATACAAGGTTTCCAGAAGAATTTGCATCCCTGTTGAATCTGCTATAACCTGTCCTGTCTGTACGTGAACATCTATTAGAAACGTCGTCATCTGGTGTTGTGCTATAAAAAAGTACAACTTACAATTTAACATATTTGATGCATAATAGAATTATCAAATATTTCCATGTTTCCCATTTCAGTTGTGGCAATATCAATACTAAATTACTGAAGGCAAATAAATAGCAGCTGGTATTAAGCTACTTGCAACGAGCCTTTGGAATTACTATGCTAAATTATACCCATCTTTTTTATTGTAGCCTGCCCATAAAGCAATTCCACATTCGATCTGTTTTACAGATAAGCGTCAACTAATCCAAACCAGCTATAAAATATTTCAGTCTTCCAAATGTTCAACAATTTACATAGAAAATTGCCTACATCACTGTTGCTATATTTAGAAAGGATATGTTACATTTGATGCATGGTACACCTAACTCTTTTATTTTTGTTTGCATTAATTGAAACCAGGATACAAAGTACATGTAGGCTACTAAGCCACAGTCTGAATATGGACTTCAAACTTAATATTAAACCCACTGGAATACTCTGAATTTTAAAAAGCACACTTAGTTTTAGGGTCTTTATGATATGGGAAAGTGATTACCAACTTTTTCTACATTTTTCTCCTCCCCCTTCCCCCCCAATATATTAATTAAAACATGGGGAGTGTGTACTCTAGGGGACAGAATAAATAACTATAGAAGGAAAGAAAAAATAAAAATAATGAATAAAAAGCTTATCCCCAAAAATGGATAAGTAAGCAATCATTTTTCTGAATGCAAAAATCATAATTTTTACATTTTGAAACAGAGATAAAACACATATTAAAATCTCCCTGTGTTAAATTCAATTCCTCAAAACTTCATAAATGTATACAAACAGCGTTGTTGGTAACATTATGTTCACAGTCTAATAGACAAGAACTTTGTTTCAGTCACTGACCAATAAAAATATATTCAGTAAAACAAACAAAGCAAAGTTAGCCCCTAATGTCAATGACAATGAATTATAACATAACAAAACTTTACTCTTTTAGAGAAACAGATTTATCCTGGTTATTTAACAAGTACTGCAAATAAAAGTTATTAGAGTGCCTAGGAAATGTAGATGAAAAAGAAGTAAGCCGCTCAATTCCCTGTAGAACTGGATACGGAACCACTGATTGGTTCAAAATTGGGAAAGGAGTTCAGCAAGGCTGTTTACTGTCGCCCTGCCTATTTAACTTATATGCAGAGCACATCATGAAAAGGCAGGGCTACATAAATCAAAAGTTGGACTTAAGATTGCCGGCAGAAATATCAACAACCTCAGATATGCAGATGATACCACTCTAATGGCAGAAAGTGAAGAGGATCTAAAGAGCCTCTTGATGCAGGTGAAGAAGGAGAGTGCAAAACTTGGCTTGAAACTCAACATTAAGAAAACTAAGATCATAGCATCCAGACCTCTCAATTCCTGACAAATAGAGAGGGAAGAAATGGAGGTAAGTGACAGATTTTATTTTCCTGGGCTCCAAGATCACTGCAGATGGGGACTGAAATTAAACCAAGAAAATAAAAATGCTTACCCCTGGAGAGCAAAACAATGGCAAATCTAGACAGCATACTAAAAAGCAGAAACATCACCCTGCCAACAAAAGTGCATATAG